TATATATATATATATATATGTATGTGTACATATATTCGATGTTTAGCTTACTAATAATTCTGTCGAACGTCGTATGAGAATTCCAGCGGTAACCGGGAAGGAAAAAAAGACAGAGAAGACTTTGATAGATAAGAACAGAAGGCCGAAGGATGCGAAAGGAATCCGGGTGTCGACCAACACGTTCATACACGTTTGGTTCCAGGCAATGGTCACATCTTGCGATTTTGTTCCCACACTTGTCGGGAACATGCGGATTCCAACGGAGATTCTCTTTGCTAGTTCCGCGCTTGAGAACAATCGGAGGAAGAACGATCAAACAAAGAATGAAATGAGACGAAAGTAGCCAGGATAAGGCATAGATGCGTTTCGCGTTGCGGTCTTATAACAAGCCAAAACATCAATAATTTGACCGTGTGGTCTCGAACATCAACTGATATCCTTTCCCACAAACAATGAACTCTAAATCTAGTCAAAAGGGATTCCAACCATTCTTACATTCTGATGACAAGATAAATGACAACGATGAGTAAAACAGGCCACCTTCTGTTTAATTGCAAAAACAATAAAGTAGTTGATTTATGTGCAGGCGGTAGTTTTTTTTATCAAAACTCTTTTGAATTACAGACGAGGAATTGAGCAGCAAAGAACAAACATCCGAAAGTTTGTAAGATATTTTTTATCAGTTTGTTTCTAATATATCTTTTATCTTTCTGTGTGTATACATTATCAAGACTTTATTATTACATTTTTATAATTACATCAGAAACATTTTATGTATATAAATACATATGTATATATTCCCAATTATATACAATGACTATCAATTCGTAGCACATATTTTATTACGTATTTATTGCCTATTTTAAAAACGTTATATGTTACAACAATATATATTTAGGAAACAAAAAGAAACAACTGCGAGATCTTGTTAGTTGCATGAAATTCATGTTTGGCATATTTACAAATTAGATAAATACAACAAAGATGTTTAATATAGATATGTGTTAATTTTTCAAGTGTTTGCAAGCAAATAATGATCCAGCGTGTGAGAGAAATCCCTATGCACATATTAGTGCTTGTATCCAACCTGCGTTTCTCGAGCGTACGAAATATATACAGCACAGGAATGACAATCGAGTGCCTCCGTGTGTGGAGTAGCTAGTGATGAGAAGCCCATCAGAATGCCACGCGCGTGTGTTCGTGCACGACACGCGGCGTGTCGTTCCGCCCGCCTGGTTGCCCCGATTTTATCATTCCGGAGACTCTTATAACCTCTAAATGTTTTCGTCGCCTCTATCAGATTGCGGTGCCGGAGACAGGGATCGCTCTTCTCTTCACCGGCAAAGAAATCTCGCAAAAGATTCAAATTACGATAAAGCGGCGAAAGAAGCCGCTGGTAGAAAGTGTCGATGACCTTGTGACATATTTTATTTTCAATTAGCAGAGACTACTGTCATTTTTCGAAATTAATAAAAAGAACTCAATATTTTTATTTTTTTAAATGTCTCTAATATTTGATAAATATTTTAGTAATTTACAATTTACTTTTAATGATAAATACGTAATTATATCGTTAGATTTTAGTTTCTTCACTAAAAAACATGAGAATTTTGAGACATCAGTTTAAAAACTGAGTTTGTTTAAAATGTTTCCAGAATACAAAGGTTGATAAAATATTTAAATGTTTGTAAATTTAAAAAAAGTCTTTTATCGTGCGATGCAAATTGACACGTGCTGCTTTTCAAAAACCGCAAAAGGATTCTCGAACGACATTATACAATTGCCACCCTTCACATATTAGACATCCAAAAAAATTCTATTAAATCGACAATCTTAACAAACATCTCGACTGGATTGTTGAGAACCAGGATCGCATTCTCCGGGCTGAAACAAACCGCGTGACGGTATGCGTAATAATAGTAAAACCGAATGAATCTAACCTCGGTTGCCTCCAGAATCTCGTTCGTGCTTTTCGAGATGCGTAGAGGTCAAAAGGGAAGAAACGGAGAAGACGAAAGAAGCTTAAGCTGCCGCTTACCATCAGACTGGCCCGGGGTAAAAACTCGAACTAGCGAGGGCGGTAGAGGGAAGAGCTGGAGGAACTGCTGGTGTCTGTTGGCCACGAACCGAGGGGGTGGGTGGGTCAGGTAAGATCAAAGGAACCGCCGTGAGAAGTGATCCGGCTGTCCGAGATTCTTGTCTGCCGGAACGCTAGCAGTCTCTCTTTTTTTCTCTCTCGCAGCAAGAATTTGTTTTAATATCGTACACCATCCCCTTGGTCTGCATTGTCAGATGTAAACTTCTTTGTAGCAGCAACCGAAAATTCGTTGACAGAAATTGATTAACAATTGCGCAACTAATAGATAAAATATATACGTTGGATAACTTTGTACAGATTTAAAATTATTTACATAATTTTGGTTAGATAATTAATGATCTAACAAAAGAGGAAATAAAAAATACAGAGATAGTATTTGTCACTAAAATTTAATCAATTAATAGCCAAGATTGTAGAATGTATCTACAAATCTCATAGAAATTTGCCGGTCATCCGTGAACACGAACGACAGATAAAAGAAACTGGTAGTCTGCTGGTAGATATGCAATACACATACGTACGTAGAAAGAAGAAGCAGCGATGGAAGGAAGATCGGAGGAGAAAGAGGCGAAAAGTATGTGTGTGTGTGTGTGTGTGTAGAAAAAGGAGAAAGAAGAGAAAAGAGGAAGAAAGCCGGTACGGTAGGTCGGAGAGTTGGTACCATTAGCGTGGATGCCTGTTCGTATGCGGTCAGGGTCCTTTTATCCCGCGCGAAGATTCCTGCGGGATTCCTGCGTTCGTTATCATCGCGTGCATTTGTTGAACACTGAGAAATGGTGGAAGGTAGAGATGCAGGAAGAAAGAACGCGAGAAAAAGAAGAAGTAAAGAGAAAAGCGAGAGAGATTCGTGGAGGATGAGGAGAACCGAACCAGTCCTTCTCAGGGCACGGGCCTCCCACGACATACACTCGGCGCAGGAATTATGAAGTCGTCCAGCTGGATACCAGTTGGCTATATTTCGCGAGAGTATGTCGACGGCGGCGCGCATCGTGTAATGGGAAAATATTGAATAGTTCTGCGACGCAACGCAGTGCGTCGAAGAAGAACTGAAAAAATCAAGAGACAACTTTTGAGAGTTATAAGGGATCCGCGATCAAGAATGGACACGGATGAAGATGTCACCATTGACGTAAAATTGTGCTAGTTTTTTGCCTGTTGACAAACTTGCTTTTCTTACAGATAATTTTATTGCAATGAAAAAAGTAAAAATTTATTGCGGTGATAAAACTATAATTTTATCAAATTTTTTAATTTGAATAAACTTTATTGTAATTATAGTTTTCAATAGTAAAGTATAAACTTTTTTGATATAATAACTAATTAATTTGCGAGAGGAAAATAATGGGGCAAAAATAAAAAAGCAGTGTAACAAAACTTTTATTTCTTTATTTATTACGTTGTTTATTTCTCTTATATTTATTGCATAAATTATACGAGCAATAATTAATACATATATTATGCACAACGTTCGAACTGTTATTATTAGAGTTTCCAAAGAGTAATTTCCTTACTCAGCGTTGGTTGAAAAATTAATTGAATAGTTTTAAGATTCCCTGGGCGCGAAATCTACGAAACTCTGGCAAAAGAAGAGAGAGAAAATAGAGAAGCGTCAAGAAAAGTATAAAAATATAATTTATTATGTCCGATGTTAGTTGTCTTGTGAAAAATCACACAAGTTTTATTTACAATAGACTTTACGAAAGAATATATTAGTCATCGATCGACTTGCGATGCAGCAAAATATATCATTATATATAATCTATTTATGTACACAAATATATGATTTTAAATATTCCAAATTATTCGAAGACAGTGTGTCTAAATCACACACATAAAGAATAGTATTTTAAAATAAATTATGTTTTTTTCACCTAAAACAAAGACCTTATGCAGTAGAAAAAAATAATTGAAGGCTTTTTCTGTCTTTATTTATCATAAAAATTAAGTAAGTAATCTTCCATAATAAAGCTAGTAATTTAATTTGATTAATCTACTGAGATAAATAAATAGAAAAATAGATAAAGAAAGGTAGATAAATAAAGAGAGAAAGAGAGAGAAAGCCAATAAATTGATTTTTAATACTATATCATAATGTTATTAAATGCGCATACGAGTGTTTAATACTCATTTATTAAACACTCGTAATTAAAAAATATAAATAGTAATATAGCCTTAAATTATTTTTCTCTACTACATGGTAATGTTATATTTTAGATATCTTTATTACAAGTTGTGATCAAGTTATCTCTTCATCGATGAACACAAAATAGCAAGCCGATGTAACATTAGTATACCAATATTTACACTAATATTTATAGACCAATATCTTTTTATCTATTTTTTCGTATATTCTATAATTTTTTCTGATGCTTAAAACCTTAGAAAATCTACAATCGCGCTAACGCTTCACACATCATTTCAGTCTTGAATATGCAACGCGACATAATAAATACATATGATACCGTTTGTTTCGCGTAATACTGAAGACGAAAGGGCCTCGCGAACTCACGCGGGACTCCATGCGACAACTTCGCCGGTTTCTTTCATCCGGCTAGTTTCATGGCAAAAGCTCTCACAAGTTAAAAAAATCACTCACAAGTAGAGTTGTCTGAGCCACAAAAAAGTCGCATCCGTCCGATTTCTAAATCGATTGTGATAATTTTACACTTGTAAATTTCTCAAAAAAATAAAAAAACAAACAAACAAACCGAGTTTAATTTAATATCAATTCAGTCCGATTAGTTTCAACTACTACCGAGAGTTTTCGATAATACACTAACACGATCTTCTTAGATGCATGTATGTATTGTCTTTTTCGTCCTGCACACCTGGCATTTGACTTCGCAGCACCAGTGGAAGATGCAAGCGCATCTCTCAATTATCGTCACTTCTTGTGTCTTGTAGCCCCTGCCGCAGCACATCAAGTCGCAGCCGTCAACGCCGATACTGGTGTCGTTACACTGTCGCCCGTAAGTACCCAGAATACCGAGATGCGGATCCTTTTCGCAAAACGCTGGCGACGGATCCATATAAACGAGGTCCTTTGGTCCGGGCGGTTTGTGGTCCGAATTGAATGGCTTTAGTTGAAAGTTGTAGCGTTGTTTGCGCCCAAGACCCTCGCGAATATGGTGCACAGAATTGCTCGGAGAGTTGCTGACAACGTTGCTGGTGCGCTCAGGAGGCGAATTGCTGACTCCGATCCGGGACGCTCCGTCGAAACGATCCTTGAGATTGTCTCCAACCACGCGAAAGTTCGGTAGCCGCATCCAGCACGTCTTGACCGCGCACGAGCCCGACATACCGTGGCACTTACATTCTTGTCGCATCTCCGAAGACACGTGCTATGTAACAAAAGGGACGGAATAGTGTATAAATTGTCTCTCGGAATTGTGAACAGATTAAATTACACAGATTATCCTTTTTTACTTTTTGTGACATGACGCACAATGACGTATCATAAGACAAAATAATCAGATTTATTTAATATAAATTTCCAAATATCTGATAAAACATAAATGTTTTGTAAATCATGACAGATGTGCTTACTGCTCTGCCGGCTTCGTTATTATGCAGATTCATCTTCTCACGTAGATTTCGACCGCGTTCGCCGGTATCGACAAATTCGCGGGAGAACATGAAACCGTATCCGATGTTATCCGAGCAACCGCCCCATTCCCAGTCTCTAACAACAGATGATGCGCGTGATTGGTGAGAATAGTCGCACGAACACGACTGAACGCTACCCTCGCTACATGCTCTTGCAATACTGTGAGTTACAGCTGCGCTCATGATGGCGTAGATGAAGGCAGTCTCTCGGCATCCTGTAAAACATCACGGCAAATTTATGACGCACGCCAAGCTGAGACAACTAAACTTTTCGTTGCGCAAACACACATAAAAATCAGACTTACGACTTGAGTAATGCCAAAAAAATATATAATTATTATGTATTATTATAAATCTTTCCACTTTTTGTATTTTATTTTTATTTTCCATTATATAACGGTTCTGAAATAGTAGAACGTTGTAACGATTCTAAAATAATTTTTGAGCTAATAACTTTCGGTCGTTATATAATCGTGTGCGGTTTTATACAAAAGTTCTTCACAAAAGATATTTCTGTCGATAAAAACACACGAACGCAGATATCAATATTTTTATACTCGTCGTAAAAGCGAAGATAAAGTTTCGCGATATATGTGTGCGTGTGTGTGTGTGTGTGTGTGTTTGGTCGCGTGGGAAGTGAGCGGTGTGACGTCACACACAAGCAAACGTCTCAATCCTCACAGGAGACTACCTGAACGAGAAGTTCTCGCAGGTGGAAAGTGCGAGAGAGAACGAGAGTGGCGAGAAGTGATGAGAGAAAAACGTGACTAAGAGAATGAGAAAGAGAGACAAGAGACGGTACGTGACCTTAACCATGAGTGGGCTGACCTGAAGCACCTCGAGCTTATCTGCATAAAACGCAGGTGCTTGCCGGTATCTTTTGTGCTAGTAAAGATATTACAAAAAGAGAGGCAGAGAGAAAGAGAGAGAGAGAGAGAAATAATTTTGTAAATAGTACTGTAGCAAATTGTCGCATTGTTTTATTAATATAAGAAGAATATTATAATTTAAACCCATTTTTTAGTTAAATTTAAGATTTATTGTGTGTTTCAAGTTTATTATTCTCTTTTTTTTTGGACTACAAATCACTAGAAAACTATTTCGATTTGATGCGCTAATTAGATACGGAGACGTAATAGAAACCGAAAAATTGAATAAGAATAAGATTTTTTTAGTTAAATTCGACTTCGAGGTCCAGGTATCTCTCCATCAACATTGTGTAACGAATTGATGGCAGCAATAATTTCTAAATTTGTTACATTTCTCTCGTTGCTTTGTATTTTACAGTGATTGTATTAAGGAAACAAGCTCTCACGTAGTACGAATAATAGATAGAATGATTATCATGTGAATAAGATAGGAAAATGTATATATATATATTTCTTTTTCTTCTTTCTTCAACCTTTTTCCCAAGAAAGCTTTTATAATAATAAATGAGCAAAGAAAGATACATAGTATGTATCAGTATATTACCGCATATGTTCTCTGAATCATGTGTTTGCGAGAGCAAGGCTAATCTTTTGCGGCAAACGCCCTCGATGAACTCATTGCCTCGTTGAGGATTTTGTGTTCGTAGAAACCAACTCGTTCGATTTTTCTCAACCGAGTTTTACGATTTTCAAACAATTAGTCTGTTATCCGCAGATAAGCGAGTCGCAGTCTTGTTTCTTCCGAATGTGTAAGAATGTCACTATAACGCGCGAGATTGCAAGAAACTAAACGAGAAAAAGAAGGAACATTGAAAAAAAGATGTGAAGCAAAGAAAGTACAAGGTGAAAAAAAAAAAGAAGCGCGACGCAATAATCTGGATACTTGTTTGCTTTCGTGGAGACGTGTATGCTGTTCTCCCTTATTCCGAGTACAATAAATAGTTCAACGGCGGTTTTATCGACTCGTTTAAATAGTATGAGCAACTTGGAGCCAAAATGTGTCCGCAGGACAAACACGCGCATTGACATTGAAAATTCTTTAGTTGCCCTCTCTCGTGTGTATTTCAAAACTTTTCTCTCGACAAGTAAAGCAATAATTGAATAAGTTTGAAGCATTTTCGAATTAAAATATATAACACTGACGAATGCAATATAAGAGATGGATATTATTTATTAATATTATTTATTAATTAACCTATTATATCAGTATAAAAAGTATGTTATAAAAATCCAGTCTTATTTCTTACAGAATATTTGATAAGTTTCGATTTGAACAAACTTTTTAATAAAACACTTAATAATTTTATCGTGAGATAATAGTGATTTAAAAGATGCTTGTAAGATGAGCACAGTTGGCACACATTGGTGAACTTGATGAAATACCTATACATAGCAAGTACTCCTGACATCTCTTCTTTCTCTTTCTGGAATCGTCATCTTTCTCGAGATTGTTTAGACGACATTGCTGCGCATCTTTATGAAAAACATTTGAATCTTGGTTAAATTTCTCCAGATAAAATTGTTGAGATTATTATTGCTACTGTCCCGAGTTTCAGATGACAAAACGAGTTATGGTGCAACCATCTACACGCGGAATCTAAAATGATGTAATATGGTGATGATGGTCCCCGATGGCGATATCGACGTGATGATTTATGCAAAGACATGTAATACAAACATAGATGATGGATTGCGACTTTAAATGATGAGTCTGTACGTAAATCCGTTTACAATGATTCATTATAAATATTATGAAAGACATTTTTGCGGCAATAAAGCATCTGAAATAACGGTACAAATAATCGTAGCTCGACGAGACTCGAAAATAAGAAAGACTAAGGGAAGTAACCGAGGACAAGCAGAACACTTCCGAAGACCGCAAAATAACACGGAGCGTCATATAAACCCGCGAGAACGAGAACGAGCTAGGCTTGAGTAGGGAACATAGTGGAGGGCAAACAAGATGTAAAAATCAAGGGGGCTTATTGGATCGCGACTCACGTTTTCGCAAGAAACCTCGGTGTGCCGTCGACACATGTAGCTCATCATAGGTCGTGATTTATAGCGGCGTAACACCATGACAAAAAGCGTCTGGTATCACCATATAAGACATATTCTGCACATTGGTTAGATATTGATTGAATTTATTTCATTTATCCTGTAAACGACCGATTATGTCGATTTCGTAGTGTACGGCAAAAATATTTGAAACACGCAAACCTTGCTTCTTTTTTTCTGATAGATAAAAATAACATTATAACATTTTTTTGTGATTTCTGTGTCCTTTTTCTTTTGTTGAAGCATGCGGTATAATAGAAGTACAAAATGCAAATCGTTCAGAGCAGAGCTGCAGAATCATTTCGTAGAATAAAGTTCAAATCCGTAACTAATGGCAGACTTTTGCAGACTTGGTCGTTTATGTTAAGATTTAACTTCCTGAAGAAGATGATTACTTACACACTTACGCACATACATATGCGTGTTTAAAAAAATCGTAAAATTGCGTTTTTTTAAAACAAGTTTGACTCTATTTAAGTTTATTTTCAAGATATTTTATTTTGTCTCTCTCTCTCTCTCTCTCTTTCTCTCTCTCTCTCTTAACACAGTGAAGAGATGAATTTATTTCGTCATCGACAGTACAGCTTTGCTTTTTTAAGCCGAATGATTTTGGCTGCGATCGTTATCATATAGCAAGTTGAGAAAAGAAAAGACAACGTTGCTCAATGTGGAGTCTCTCAAGATTCGCAGTTTACCGAGCAATTAGGCTGCGGGGTTCGCTTTTGCGAGCCACGGTGTGTGTCAAAGAAGAGAAAGATGTGGAGAAACGAGAGAAAGGTGTGAGAGAAAGGTTCAGAAGAAGCGAGGTAAGAGAACGAGACGAAGAATGAAGGAAGGCGAGGATACCAATGCGGTAGGTGGCTCTTGGCGGCGAAATGATTACAGGCCGCGAACGCACTCACTACCAGCTATAATATCGAGTACAAACGCAACCAAAAGTATCGAGTCTCCAAACCGGCAAAATTCCTCTCGCGCGCGTAGATATCGGCTCGATATCTATTCTCCGTTTGCTCTTTTACATATATGCAATCATTACATGCGACATTTAAATTTAAATGTCACATGCTTAACTTGAGTTGCCTGTCGACAAAAGTTTCGGATCGTATATACATATTAATTGACGTTACACGTTTTTATTGACTCGCTAATTATGTGTTTTATATAGACACGTATGAATATATTAAGAATATATTAAGACTATTTTATACAGAATCGTTATTAGAAATGCCATCGGAGATTGATAACTTGTCTTGTGTTAATAACATCCGTGCAACAAAACGCGAACAAATTAATATCTATATTAAAGTATCTTTCGGTCGGGTCTAAACACAGTTGTGTTTTTTAATTAAATGCTTAAAAAATATGTGTGTGAGAATTTCTTTACTTTTTAACGTAATGAATATTTGCAACACACAAGACTTACATATCAAATCCACATAATTAATTAGTTTATTACTTTTACGAATTTATATTACGAGCATAACTGATGGCAACTTGACACTTGCGTCAGAACATGTAGTAGTATAGATTACGTAATCCGGAAACGACCGGTGTTCGACTGCAACTTTGTCCCGGATCTATCTCCGATTCTTTCATCTTCGAGCGCGACGAGAGCATATTATTGTTTGCTGATAGTGATCTATGTTTTTCGTCAGCTCAGTGAAGATGAAATCTCGAAGGATCTATATAAAGACAAAGAAAATACATGTATATATATATATATATATATATATACATATATATATACATATAACGATTTATAATATTATTTATAAATATTAAAAAATATTTAAAATAAACTCCTAATTTTCACACACTAACATCCGTGTTCAGGCTCTTATTGGCCCTTTGTCCTTACTTTTATGAGATTTTATCAGAGCCTTTTCGTTCCTTTCTATTTGATAAATAATCAAAAAATTAAGAGGAAATATATTATAAAATATATATAAAGTACAAGTCTATATAATTGCAACTAGACGCCAATACTAATCGCGCAGACACACTAAAGGGAACATCGTGTTAACCGCCAATCCGTGTCGCCCCATCGCGACGTTACGGTTTCGTCTCGTGTTGCAACGAAATATGTCTCTGAGCGTCAAAGCATGCGTGTTACGGGCTCATAAAAAAATAACATTCTTACTTCTCTCTCTCTCCCTCTCTCTTTTCATCTTGTTTTCTACCCTTTCCCCGCTCTTTTTTGCGCACCGTGTGTACTTCTTTTAGTTTTACTAAGTGGCCATATGGGGACATTCGGCATAATGGGGTGGGAGCGGCTCGAGCGAAAAAGCTCAGCTTACAATCGCCTCGACGAGATCTAAAAGAGCCGCAGGGGAGCCAGAACTGGTACGAGAAGGTCCATTATCAGGTTGCAAAACATACATCTGGCCGGTGGGGCACGTGCCCGGGGCCTTTGGACGAAGGATACGCCTCCTAGGATCCCCCCTCCCGGTTCTTCTATCTTTTTTTCACTCTCTTCTTGTCGCGTAGTCGCAGTGTGCCTTGGTCTTTCCAACCCTACGACAACTTGAAACCTTCGCGCCTTATGCACTCGATCTATGTAATCGTTCGCACTCAAATAAGGTGTTAATGCGTTCTGTCGAAAGCACAGCGGGTGTTTCCTTTTCTTTTTTTTATGTGAACACACAATTTCAAATGATAATAAAATAATATCAAATACTTAACAAATATATGATGATCTGCTATAAAATTTTATTACAGATTTCTCTCTTTTATTAATATTTAGATCAAATCAAATCACGCATAAATTTGCATGCGTAGAAGCGTAAATACTTATCGAGTATACATTCCTCTCATAAAAAAAAAAAGAAAAAAATAAATACATCTCTCTCAAACAATCAATGATCCACAAGTCCTCATTTGTTTAATATACATCAAAAAAGACGATTCATTTCTTTTTAAAGGTTCACAAAAATTCGTATGAGAGAGCTGCATCGTCGACATGTTTACGAAGTCGAGTCTTTGACGTAACTTTACGAAAATAAGTATTAATATTAAAAGTATTACGTATCGTTAACGCGTATACAAAGCTGAGACTTTTTTGTATGGTTCAAGAGATCTACGTATTGTATAACAATACGTGCTCCAATAAACACATAAATAAAATTAAATCAACGGAATACAAAAAATCCCATTAACATGCAAAGTGTTTTATCTATACAAAAAAAATTGTATTAATAAATTCAATAAGTAAATTTATAAGATTTATCACAGAGGTACAACTATGTGTTATCGAGACAGCAAACATAATTTCAAAAGAAATATGATTCCATTCAAACTAACATGCTTTTCAACCAGATAAGATGTTAGTGATGTCGTTTTAAAATGGCTTTACATCCGTTGAATCCACAGTTTATCTCTAAGGTGTCGTTCGCTCGGCGATTATCGCGATGACGCATTGCGATGACGAGATGACGGACCTTATTACTTAATCTACTAACTGAGTGTTACGAGACGTATCGAGGCCATGTTGGCTTAAGCAAATCGGCAGATTTGTCATTTGCGATTTTATAACAGCCGCGATCCGTTCTTGTCTCTCGCGTTCTTTTCTCTCTCGTTTCTTCTTATACCTCCGTCTTTGGTAAATATCTTGAATATCGGTTATAACCAACGCAATAGATCTCTTTAAACATAAGTAATATCTTTTAGTTGTTTAATTTAAATATATTATACTTTTAGTGACATAAAATCTTTTTTATTTCGATGATATTAAGGAATAATTAGAAAAACAATTTTATTATTGCTTTTTAAATATATTGTGTTTACAATTATCAGTGATCTTTGTACTTATAAAATATTATATTAAACTCAAACGGTGTTAAAATGTGTTACTTACCTCTATCGACAATCTTGCCAAAGAGATTTCTTCCTCGAAGAAAATTTTTTGTTGAACAATTCCATCGTCGATTGCGAAACTGGTACTGACATTCGGCAATGGCTTGATTTGCACCTCTTGCCACAGCCATTAATACTCCAGGATTATCCCTGACAAGTTTCCTCTGTTTTCGCCTCAATGTTCCATAAAAAGAGGGTTCCAAGTTCAAAGAAGGATTAGGTGGAAAATTATTAGGTTCACCCGCTTTTGCAATACCCCTAAAAGCAAAATAACACACCTATCTTATATCATTGTTCATGTCATATCTTTTTGTTATATTTAAAGAAAGAAAAAAATAGATTTCGCACATAAAAGAGCAAAATAAAAAAGAAAACAAATATGCGAACTGTTCTTTCTACTATTAAAAAAAAGACGAGTTAATTTTTTTTTTTAGAAAATTATTTTTGGACCAAACGATTAAAAAACGATAAAAAAAACAAATTCATCGAAATGATATTCTATTTAAATCTATTTGCTACGGAAGACTTTTCTTGTGCATTCATACACGTCAAAGTAGAAACAGTAGATTAATGTGTTAATTTAGCAAAGCAATTTTGACGATACCAAGTGAATACAGAATATTGAGAACGTTTTTTTTTTCTTTCTTTTTTTAATAAAGATTGTGGTAATAAAAAGCATTCGAGTAAAAAGAATTATTCTCGTGATCCTGACCGTGCCTCTCTCATCCGGATAGCATAATTCCGGTCATATATTCTCGACACAAGCGTTAAAGCATATATAATATGTGCGCTTTCGTGAAATTATCAATTTATAAGCAACCACAAAAAGTAGAAGGGAAGGTTCGACTGCGGTTAAGCTAGCTGCGGTCTCGGGGAAAGAGAGCTTAATGTAATCGCGATCGCCAGTAAATTCTCTTAATGAGCCCTCCTGTGTTCGGTTTGGCAAACGCCGTGTGCATCGTTATCGTGCGTGTCGCGTATTACATGACCGTCGTAATGCATAAGGTATCGTGCGATATCGCGCAAATAAATTTTAATTACGCGGCAATTTCGCGAATGATAATGCGCATCGTCATCTGCCGCGATTGCTTTTTCTTCTATCCAGAGAGCGACAGGTTTGATCTAGAAAAGATACAACTTCCAATTACCACTACAAAGTTGAAGCTTTAATTTGTATTTGAAAATACACATATTATCTGTACACATGTTACGTACTGATATCTTTTTCGTCGTGTTGTATTTTATTTAATAACATGTATAATTTTACTATATTATACAAAATACAACACATTAACTTTCTTTTGAAAAAAGTGACGTAAATAAAGGTTAATATTTAATTGTATGTATGTATACATATATATATTTAATTGAAAATTGAATTTAAAATATATTTAATATATTTAATTAAAAATATATTTTATTGAAATATTTAATTGAAAATTGACTTACTGTATGTGTGTGTCTGCGTGTGTCTGTCTGTATGTGTGTGTGTGTATCTGTATCTGTGTAATATAAGAAATGTTAATTTTATTTGCACATGATTATATACATAGTTATGTTTTAACTACTCTTTTTTATATTTTCTTGTGCGTACAGTTTTGTATTTAGAATAAAAAAAGTATAAAGTTTCTATATTATTAAAATTATATCTTTGTAAAAAAGCAGAATCAGATAAATGCATTTTTTTTTAAGTATCGCAAAAAATAGTCATGGGATATTTGAATCGGTGTGTAACCCGATGGATGCTTTAGCGTGTGATTTAAACGGTGGCCGTCACCGCGAAACGTCAATTTTGCACGCAAAAAGGTGCGGGCATTGAGAAGAGAACAGGCAACGCGAGGGAATGAGAAGGTTACGAAGATTAGCACGAAAGACGAAACTGGTTCAGCAGTTTTGATCAACGGTAGCTTCAAGTGTATATACAGAATATTGTATATACAGAGTGTATCAAAGAATCTGCAAACTTGCCATAGATTATTTAACAAAGTCAAAATATCTTTTTATAAAACTATATGAAAAAAATAGAACCCTTTAATTTTTCTCTCCTATCTTTTAAATAAAGTATTTTAATAAGATTTAAATTAGAAAGTTTTCTTCAAATGAGAGTCAAGAATTGAAATGTCATATCTAATTTTATACTTTTATCTGATAAACTTGGTAAAATTCGTGAAGAATTACGTGCAATTACGTGTAACTGAAAACTACTAATAGCGACAATAGTAATGGTTTTTTGTAAGTCTGTCTACAAAAGTCGTACAACTTTTATCAATTTTTGATACACCCTGTATGTATATAAATCAAGCTACCGCGTGCGAGTTCAGCATGTGAAAGAATTCGCGTCTCGATCGATCGAGCATAGCGCAGAAAAACGTTTAAATGTGCTCATGGTGTGCCCTTCGTGGGAAGAAGAACGTAAGGTCCACAAGAAGAAATGATGAACCGTGCAAAATGCATACTAATCAAGTGCAGTAAGAAATGTACTTGCTTGGACAAAAGTATCTTGTTTAATACATCTCTTATATAAAATATTATTTTCTTTTTAAATTTTAATATTATTTATTTTATATGTACGTATTTGATTTGCTTTTGATGAATAAATATATAATATTTATCATACACTTTTTCATCTTTTGTTATTTTTATAGAAAACAACCGAATTAGACTAAGATGATCTTTATAAGCGAATACAATAGTAAAGTGTAGATATAGCACAAGTTTTGTAAGCACTCTCTACACGAGAGAAACTCTTTGGAGAAGAGTTGTTTCCAAACAGGATCGTAAACGTCCAAAGCCGATTTGCTACGCATGAAAAAGCACTAAATGCGTCGGATATTTGTTGTTCTTTAAACGAGAGACGCTTGCGCGACCCTTATTTAAAATAGCTCGCGCGCTTTGGGATCGGATCAGTCGCTCGGCATAATAAACAGGTAATCACTGTCGCCGTGGCTCTGTCGACGCCTCGTAGTCTGGACGGAAATCGAGACTCTGAAAGAAACCGGAGCTGCGTGGCTCACCGCGAAATGACTATCAGTCACCCGCCACCGAGATTTCTCGTTTGACACTTTGGGCGGTCTAAACAAATCGGAAAGTGCGAAGTGGCAAACACATGGCCTGATAAAACGAGAGATGGAAAAACGTTGCGTTTTCTGATATTAGATCAGAAAATAGGATTCCGAGTTGCACATATGAGCTTTCCAATGAGGGTGAATATAACATTATAATATAGCAAGACATTATATAAAATATTGTTCTTTCTTAATAAATATATATATATATATATATATATATATCTAATAAGATAAAAATATTATATATGAACAAATCAATGTGTGAAAAAACGCAACTAACACGTGACTTAGTAATAAAAAGTGTTTTAAAAAATCTATGTAAATCTGTGTGTGTGATATAGTAATATATAATTAAAAAATTATATTTCTATATTATAATTAAAAAATTATATTTCTATATCACAAATATAATTAAAAAATTATATTTCTATATCACACACACAGATTTACATGGATAAAAAGAATTGTGTAAGAATGTGTAAAAAGAGACATATACCTACTCAGCAGTAACATTGTTATAAGAGTAACGTTATTATATAAAATGCGGAACAACGCGACTTGTTTGTAATAAAATAAAAATGTACGCGATACATATAGGCCCAAATAAAATCCAGGTAAGACACGGGATTAAACGCTACGGCTTCGAGGATCATCTCGTATATGCTCAGAATGTGCACATGTGGCAGGTCCTTCGATTTGTCATGCGCGATCCGCGAGCTCACACGGCTGATGCGACGTGTAATGTACACCATGCGGCGGTATCGATGCATGTATGCATTCAATAAGCAATGTCCATAAGTAAGACGCGCCGCAGAACGTTTAGGATGTATCTATTATAATTTATGTCGGTCTGAGAGAAAAGTTCAGGAACAACTCTTTCTTCATCTTCGCATATTTTCTTCCGCCAGACGATGACTGAGACAAAAATAATTTATAGCACTAAGATGTGAGGATAGCGAAGGTAGCACGATTCTTCGGGATCACGCACTTGTAATAACGAAAAAATATTCAAAGTGAACGATGCAGTGAAAAATAACGAATTATTTCATTTATGAATGTCATGGGATTTGAAGAGATTGCTTTTTTATTTCTTCTGTGGAAGAGAAGATTTTTTAATTCCACAAAATATTTAACATTTTGTTTTTCATGAAAAACATAAAAATAGAAACAAAAAAGTCGCTTGAATTATTGTAATTAGACAACAGTCTCAGTTGCACACGTGTTTTGATTTATATGCAGTGAAGTTTACAAATAATCAATTAATAATCAGTCAAATATTTATCCAATAATGAAGTCTCTCTCTCTCTCTTTCATTGTTTACTTTGTATCAATTCTGAGATACAATTTATTTATAGAATCAATGTTTATCTTATAAGAAGACCACACGTGCTATGAAGTTGACGCTAGCGTTATTTTTTAGCGTTATTTTCAGTTATTATTTACAATTCGTGAAGGTTGTAATAACAAAAACATATAGTTAAATATTCGAAACATATGTATAAAAAAAAATTAATTAAGATTTAGTTTTTTTAACATAAAAATTAAAACAGCTGAATAAAATATGTATAATGTATTTGATTGCAATGTATACACAATGTTTACACATTAACAATAGATAAATATTGTCTTTAATATTAATTTTTTATGACAAACTAGTAAAAGTAAACAATTATAATATGTAGGGTAAAAGACCCAATTACTGTCACCCGAATAATAAACTCTGGTGTGTGTTAGTGAATTGTTTTTACTACTTATTTATCAAAAACATGTGATTTTCTTCTTATCTGGTATTATTCGATGTCTCTAATATAAGAAACAAAATAATACCGCCTCTCAAAATCTCTATTTTTATTTATAAATTTAATAATTAAAAAAGAACGATGCGAGAGCTATTACTGTCACCCCTAAAATGAAAGAAATGAGACACGAATGTTGAGTGCTGGATTTTTTGTTATATTAATTGCACTTAAAATTCTATGTTAGATTGTTTTCATGCATAACTTTTTAGGATTTATTTAATATTTTAAATAAAATAGCTTAGGGTGACAGTAATTGGACAGATGACAGTAATTGGGTCTTTTACCTTATGTAGGTTTGTTTACTTTTTTTTAACCAAAGCATGCGTTTATATAAACACGTGCGTTTTACTGCTATTAGTGTTTCCTCTGAACAACAAAGTTACATCGACGTACATATGTCATTTTTGGCATGAGTTGTCCATATTCAGAACAACAACGTCATGAATCAGGTCGAGATGTCATAAACCAAACGAGAGATGTTGCAGTTCTGATCGCGAAAGCTTGTCTACGTGTCTTTTTCATATGACGTGTTGGTCTTTTTCGACCGACTTCTCGTTTCTTTCGATATAAGAAGAGCACAGCTACGTATCATCTCGCTTTTTATTCTCATTGTCTTAAGTCGTTTACGTTGATAAATCGATCACACCGGTTGGTGACAAAAAATACGATAAATACAACATTGTAACGATTGTTAGAATCGTATTGAACACGCGCAAAGATGAAATCCAAAATATGCATTTTATCTCGATTAATTGTGTCACATTTTTGTGACTTATACTTAATATTGTGATATAACTATCTTTTACTGAAAATGTAAAAAGAGTTTATATTTATGTTGGAAAACATAGATCATATTAAAATAACTTAAATAATATGAAAAAATTTATTCTGAAAAAAAAAAAACGAAAAATAATCTTATCTGACGATACACAGCATATCTAATAAAAGTCGCACATATATCATTTGTGATAATACGTAGTATATATTAATATACGTAGATATATTAAAGCGCGTTTACGCAAAGACATATTTTTAATAATATGTTTATTAATATTTTTTTTTATTAATATATATTTAATAATTAGTTTTATCTATTTTAATTTCTGTCCTACTATAGATTTTTATTTTATATAAAAAATTTTTTGTGATTAATTCTTTTTCTCTCTTTTTTGTTTTTTTTTTTTAATAATCAGTAGAGACTTTGTATAAACGGGTGACATATAAACGATAGATTTAATATTGTAAGGAAGAATCATTACAAACGGCTAAAATCGAATCTTTATATGTATTATTCTCTTATATTTTTTATATGTATTATTCTTGTATGTTTTCGAATTTAACGACTGATAATTTCACGATAAACTTGTATACCTGCGCGATTGTCAAGGTGACAAACATATATTTGTCGATTCTCACCTTTGCGATGCTTGTTGTTTGCCGGTTGACGACTCAACCGACAATTTTGAAAAGAGGAAAATATGATAACATCGCCGAAGACCGAGGTGACGAGGAAAAGGGCTTGCGGAGCCAGACGAAAGAAAGTTTGTAGCCGTCGATAAGAACGGATCAAGAGACGCGAGAGATCGAAGCGCGATAGATCGATAGAGTCATTTAATTAAGTGCATTTATGTAATATTTTTCGTAATAAAGTTAATCAATACACTTTTATATAGAATAAAGTGCTTCAATTCAATCATAATCTCCTGTACAATATGATACATGGTCGCAGCAGAGAATGAGAACAAATGGATATGAGTTTCGTTTCAAGTGCAAGGGCACCATGATGAGAAGAATACTTTGTAGTTCGAGTTGGCGATAATTGCGAGTAACGCGCGCGGCTTGTCTTTCGTGTCGCGCTGATTCAATTAATTTAGCGATGGTAATAACCATCGTGTGAGCTCGCGCGAAAACAGGACGAGTCTGATTTATCGCCGGCAATTTATCGTTATAGGTGGATATTCGTCGCGGTTCTCTCACGGGATAGTGTATGAGCCACAAGCACTCTCGATCGTGCGCATTATTTATGATCGGACTAATGAAGTTAATCATTATCTAACATACATCGCGCGCAAGAAACTGTTTACGAATCAAAACGAGTAGAGAGTTAGAATTATGATTAATGGATCAATAACGACACGACGCGCGCGACAATGTTGCTCCCGCGATTAGCGCGATAAATGCCAGAATAGACAGGTGTTAATGTGCGCACGCACGAACGCAAAGAGACGCAATTAACACACAAAGATCAATTTAATTCAAGCAATGAGTAATATTTTAATTAGAAGAAACTACTTTCCGAAATGTGTGTCGTGTAGAAAATAGCACTGTGAGATGCGGTGTTGAGGGATTTTGTGAAATACATTTTCACGCCGAAAAAAAATATATTTATAACATTTTATATACCCATATTTTTTATAATAGAAACTAAGCATATATTATCGTTTTGCGAAAAGCAAAACGTTTTTTTTTACTTCAAGTCCAATATGTCATATCGAATTGTTTTTTTACTTCTACATAAGACGCAAGCAATTTTATAAATTACAATCAATGTAGCTATTAATTATTGTCATTAGCCAATTACATATCTTAGTACAGGAGTTTGTTACAAGCACAAAGTTTTAAAATATTAATGATATCTTTATTTCACGACAATAACATAATAAATTCACGACAAAACAAAAAAATGTAAAAACTTCCAAAAAAACACATGAAAAAGAAAAAGATTAGAATTCTACTCTCTTCTTTTACTACCACATTTGATTATTTAAGTCTAGTCGATGACTTTGTCAACAAGTCTATTAACTGCTTCGTGCAACTATAATTTATTTCCGGAACCTTCGCACGCTAATGTTCGCGATAAAAAGTTTTACGACGCTGCGTGTTTACAAGCAAACATTTACAGAAAAAGTAATAGAAGATAATTTTGCTATATTATAAGCGTATTAAAAGTAAAAAAAAACTGCACTTCTTGATGCTTACCACCATGTGGATCCTCCCCTGCTGTGATTCTTATTCCTCGACCGATTCACCTTGATAGCGAGAGACACGTGCACCGTCACCAAGAGCACGGTCAGCAACACGCAGAGCCTCATCTTCCGGCGTGTGTCTCGCGTGTCGCGAATCCCGTAGTGTCCCGTGCGTAAAATCCTCTCACCGTCGTCTTTATCTTCGATCAGAGGCAGAGCGCGAGGCACCGTGCACACGAACTATCACTGAATGAACATCTCGCGCGATATACTCGCGAGCTCGTCGATTCTTAGTCTTGCGCGAACTCCTCGCAAATTCTTCGAGTCGCACTCACAGGGTCGTGCGCATGACCCCGATGCTAATCGCCGATAAGATCGTCCTGAAGCAATTTTAAAGTACGATCCTTCCGGGGTATTTCGATAACGAACACTGATCACCGCATATCAACCCTTAACATTAAACCGTTCGACGGACCGTGTCGGATTTGACCAGCGTTATCCTGTGGACAGGTACTATCTCTTCGCAAGCACTGATCTGTCTGTCGTTCTGCTTGTTGTTACAGACCGAGTGGATCTCTCGTGGGACTTGTCAGGTGCCGATTGGTTCCGGCAGGCACCGTAACGCCTTAGGCTCCTGTTGCCGACTGTCACTGCTGCTCAGTACGTTGTCGAAACGTCACGAAAATTCACCCCCCCCGAAGAGCTTTCCTCGAGGGGTGGGTGTCACCCTTCAGCAGTGTGACGATTCACCGATTAGTGGTGGGAGAGAGAGAGAAAGAGAGAGAGAGAGAGAGAAAGAGAGATAGGAAGAGAGAGAGAGAGAGAGAGAGAGAGAGAGAGAGAAANGAGAGAAAGAGAGATAGGAAGAGAGAGAGAGAGAGAGAGAGAGAGAGAGAAAAAGAGAGAAAGAGAGAGAAGTAGCACAAAAACTGGCCCATGGAAGTTATATACCTGCCAACCCTCGTAAATGCTACACGCCGGTTTGTTGGACTGCTTTGTTAAGGATCAGATAAAGTTCGGAAATGCCACCGAAACGTCGAGCGTTTTTCTCTTCAGGGATGACGCGTACACGCGTGCCGCTCTCTGCTCCTTCCGTTTCGTTTGTCCATCGACCGTCCGTGCCAACTCTCTGCTTTCTCGACAGGGAGGTCCTTTGAGTAGTAACGTGTGGTAGCGGCTGCGGCGGTGACGACGACGGTGGCGGTGGCGCGGGCGCGTGCATGCGTGCCTGCCGCGGGCGTGCGTGCACGCGTGCCCGTATCAGAGTATGACAATATAAAGTTAACGTAGGGGAGAGATGTTCTAGCTGCTCTTTTCTCTTTCGCACCCTTTTCTTCTCTCTTCACGTCTTTTTCTGTCTTTCTTTTTTTTTCTCTATCTGTTTCGCTTACACATTCTATCTCTCTCTTTCTTTCTCTCTTCTTCTTTTTCTCTTTCGTTCATTTCGTGCCCTTGCGCTGGGGGATATGATGCAACGAGTTGAAGAACCAATACCCTTCGACGGGCAAGTATAGGCCTCGGCTAGCGACTGCACGCGCTTCTCTGCGGAAGAGCCGATCTCTCTTCAGAAAGAGAACGGAATGTTCTCCCTTCCCCCCTGATGCGGTGGACTGACTGTTGGACCCCCCCTTAATACCGATTAAATCTCGCCCCGCCTCTCTCAGCCTAGCTCCCGCCTCTTTATCCCTGCCTTCTTCCACTAGCATGCGCGACTATCTCCTCAATCCTTTTCTCTTAGAGTTTCTTGTCGTCTGCTTTTTTCTCTTTTCCTTGTTATTTCCTTATTATTCTCTTATCTTGCTTGTCAGTATCCAGTATTCGGTGACTCTTTCCCACTTTAACATCTTGTTTTATTTCTTTTTCGCAATTTATGCTTTTATTTTATTTTTTTATTTTTTTATTTTTTTTTTTTTTTTTTTTAAATTAACTAACCTTAATAAGAAAAAGTTTTACGCAAATATTTAGAGAATAGAGGTTAAAAGAAAATAGAATAAAATAAAGTATATTACTATTTGATAAAATAAAAAGTATACATATATGTATGTGTATATAGTTGCGTCTAAATTAGTTTTTAAACTTAAAAATAAAATGTGCAACATATTTGAAATTTTTTCAATTAGTAATTAATATTTGTAAATGAAGATTCAAATATGCTTGCAACTTAAACTGAAAAAGTCATAAAACTATTTAAATGTGATGTGTACCATCACGATAAAATTTGTTTTCTGTTTTTAATCAACAGGATGATCATGTCTTGCTCTTGTTCACACATCCTAGATTTCTTATCCTAGAATATAGCTGGCAGTTGTGCTAGCAGTAGTGCTCTTGCGCCTTGCAGGCGAGCACGTGGCTTTCAACAGGAAACAGTAGGCGGGCTTTATTAGAGCTACGCCCTATCAAGTTCCCACTGCGGAGCCCTGTTTTCCTTGCGCAAAAGAACCTTTGTCGCGGTCCCCTCTCTCCCATTCTATATCTACTCCTCCGTCGTTCGTTTTGTCTCCTTTCCGCCTTCTTTGTCCACCCCGCTCACCTGATCCTTCTACTTTCTTTTTCCTCTTTTTTCCATTCATCTCTTCCCTTACTACAGTTCGCAATAGCTTCTTTCTTTTCTCGCGTATCGCATCATGTTAGTTGTCTCTCTTTTGTCGGGAATGCGTGAATCGAAACGTGGAGGTGTGCGCGCGCGTGAGTGTGGGAACGCATCGCGGAATGTGGGATAGCGTAGCTATGGAACTACTAGCAGGATTTTTTCCCTGTCTTGAAGTCCTGAAGGACTCTACGTAATGTCCACGTTTCGGGAATTCCTTCGTCTGTAGTTTATACATATATAATTTTCAGTTGCTTGTGCTTATGTTTATATGAAAAACTAATAATATCTCTATTTTTAAAAATTAGTTGTATAATTAATAGAGAGAGATATTTTTAATAAAATTTATTTGTTTGCAAACTGAATGTTTTAATATGAGATGTCTACACTAAATGCGGGAAATCCAAGTTTGGCTCCGATATGTTTGCAATGAATTTTTTAATTTCATAGACAAGGAAATTAGATAATTTACATATATGTGATACAAAACAAACATGCAGTATAAATTTTCAAATTGAACTCAGTTTGAATTATTATTATATGTAATAATTTATAGGTTTAAAAAATATATTTCACGCATACATCCGGCACATAACTCAAATTGATCGAAAATCTCTTTGATATTATATAAATCTAAATTTGTAAATTTGTTTGTTTTAATATAGTTACAACGCTTCTCTTACGCATAATATATAGTGTAAGTACAATATACTTAAAAGTTCATAGATTAGTTGGTGTCGACATTTTATTATTTTCTCCGATAACTTAGAAAAAAAACACAAAACGACTAGTATCAAATATATCGTTATTATATTTACTATCAATAACAATAAAAAAAAAACGCCACAAGTGTATTTGTAATGATATATACGGTAAATCATCAGCGACATGTACGTCGGTCTTTTTACCAAATAACGTAAAATGTGGCAGTATTTTAAAAGAGAGATCTTATAATGTATCCGCATTTTTTCGTCAGTGAGACAAGACGAGAAAGAAAGTGATGAAATTGAGAAGAGCATTAATAAACAAGCGATTCGATGCAACTAATTTTGCACAATAACTTGAATTGCATTTTTATTGTTATGTGTCAAGTTGTTAGTTTACAAAAAAACGAAAGAGAAGCTTAAATATCTACAATTATTTGTCTTTATCTTGAATAAATCAAAAATCTCCGTGATACTTTCACAAGGAGGAGTGTGCTCCAATAATTTCAATTTCACTTTTTTTTTCTATCAATTAGTTAAATTTGAAAAAATAATGTAATTCGTTTTTTGTAGAATATACTTAGTATGAAAATATTTATTATATAGAGAAAAATTTTCATATTTCTTCTCTAAAAACGAGTTTTATATCGATCTAAAAACAGACGATACTAATCTCTTCTCTGTTTCCGCAGTAACAAGGAAAGGAGGAGCGTCATTATTTACCGAGGAAAAGGCGAGGCAGTTTATCGTTCTCTAGCGAAATCCGAGGCAATTACGCGTGGAATGTTCAGCCGCATCATACAGAAGATGCGCGATTGCATGTTCTCGCTCCAAGATCTAAGAGTGCAATCTCTCATATTGCCTCTTTTAATTATTTTTTTAGTAAACACGAGTGCTGAAAACTAGAATATTAAAAAATAGTTATTTACTTAAAATATAATTTATACAACATATAATATTTTGCTCATATAATGTAATAAAATAAATATCTATAATAAATATCTAACCAATATTTATCTTTCTCGTAAATTTTTAAAATATTTTGCAAGACAAAAAGCACACGCGTTTCGTAATGCGCTTATTGAGAAATTAGTTGCTAAGAAAAAGAATTGCTACTCGCGTCTAGAGAGTCTAATTCAGGCCTAATCGCAGCGAACAGTTTGCATGATTATGTTGTTGCCGATGTTCGTCTGCGTCGTGCGTTCTTCACGCCTCCGCGCGCGAGCGTAAGCAGAAATAATCGTTCTCGCTCGTAAGTCACGGACGAGTGAGTCGTTACTATGTATGATCGCCGAGAGCGAGGACGTGGACTTGCGTGATGGACAGCCTGTCTGTATCATACTTAAGCTGACGCTTATGATAATTACTTAATGCCGCTCTCTAAGTTGCACGCACGTATAAATGCGCGCGAATATATGCGTCGTCCACAGCTTCTACGAATCTACAATCGATATATGCCGTCACTTTTGCCGACGACTAATATAAACGAAGCGTCTGAATATTAACGCGATGCCTGATCTGATATACTAAGAGTCATATTGGTAAGATATTTATTTTAAGAAGATATCTTTCTTGCTTGTAATAATGATTTTAAATAGAACTGCCAGTTAAATATTTGGTTATTTCAATTTCTTTCTATATATATATATCTTGCAACTTTAACTTGAATATTCAAATCTAATTTACAATTATAAAATCAATTAAGTATCTTATTGCATAGAAATAGTTCTTTATCACAATAATGCTCACAAAAAGTAATACTCTAAATAAATATGGAAATTATATTTTGTTACAACATAACACACACACACACATACACGAGCAGATCCAGCACATATAGCTTTTAAATGTAGACAACTCTGTTTGCAAACCGACCATGAGATAAATTTTGAAATTATCAGTTTTTTGTATCTGAATTAAGTGAAAGAATCTTCGTAGCTGGTTCAAAACAAAAAACTAAAGTAGCTGCAAAAAGATTTTCCTTATACTAGGCGAAACATTGTGTTATAAGAAACAACACTAGTGATACTTTTTTTTTTTTAACTGCAGTATAAAAAGACATCAGAAACGATATTTTTATCTTTTGGGATCTTTTGCCGCGAGGTGATGAGATCTACGCGGTTATTGTGAAATACTAATGAGGATGTGTCCGGCATTTTTCTCTCTGCCAACTGGATCTTACCTTTTCTCATCATTTCGCCCCTCTCGATTTCTTTTCACGGGCCGACGACAGTTACGTTGCGGACAGCGTAACGAATTATATTATAGAAGATCCGTTATAGACCACTATCGAAATATTCGTGACGTTTGCCGCAACCAAAACCGCAATTTCTGACCAGATTAAGTCTCGCGGTTGTAGACTTGTTAATTTTCTCATTAATTATTTTCCTTGATTTCTCTGAAAAATGATTGTGTTATTAAATCTCTTGTGATTACATTTCTTCTCGAAATATATAGATTTGATACACTTCTTTTCAAAATATATCTTATATTATAAACACGGGTAATAAATAACTCTTTACAATTATTATTTACATAATTTATTTAACAAAAGAAAGATTTAATAAAAGATTATATACTGAAGTCGCAGGTTTTAGCAAAACTCAAACGATTAATATTTTAATTAATTAAAAGACAGACGTGCATACGTCATACGGAGGCACATAGTTTCTGAACCGGGGTTAAAGAAAAGAAAGGCGAAAAAAACGTAAGGGAGGGTGAGATAAAGTCGCTCGTAAATCTAACGACCGCGCTCAAGAGGGACTGAACATGTTGAATAGGTGTAAATGAAGTTGCGGCCTGCCGCAAACTTAGACCACCCCACTGTATTTTGTCTCTTTTACATCCTGCGGATTCTCTTCCCTCTTTTTTCGCTT